TGCCAGCCAGGGAGCTAGACGGCTATGCCCCTCCTCCACGGGGGGCTGGGTCTTACCGGAAGTGCGTCAGAGGGCGGGGCGCGTCGCCGGCTGGGCTCTACGTGGCGCAGCTGGGTTCGGAGATGCGTTCTGTTTCCGTGGAGACAGGCTGCCGGGACCTGGGTGTGTGTCTGCGGCGGGATTGGCGGGGCCTCGGGGACGCAGAGACGAGGATTGATCACAGTCAACTGTTTTGACGTGATTTGTTTTAAAATCACGTAACGCAGTACGTGGCTTTAATTCACGCAGAATGGGAGATATTAAAAAACACTTGTCCCGGGCCGGCCGAGTGGCGCGATGGTTAAGAGCTGGCTTGGGACCCCAGAGGGCCCCGGTTCGATCCCACATATGAGGGCCAGTGACACTGCCCTTTACAGCTAAGATGCTGAACAACACATTGACCTGGAGCTGGGCTGCCGTGAGTCGCCGACGACTGCGTAGGCTGCAGCCCCTGTGGCAGTGGGTTGCCATGGGCTACCGTGTGTAGCCGGCAGCCAGCGTGAGCGGCCGTCCAGAAGCCGGTGATTGATGTGCCTCGCCCGGGAAGAGCTCAATGATGGTGCCAACTTGGGCCAGTGAAGCAACGTCCTCCACAACTAGACTGAAGAACAAAAAAATGACAGCAATTTGTCTGATCCCCTTCCCCCAATTCCCCAGCACTGTTCCCATCCCCCCGCTTCCCCAATAAAAATCTTTAAAGAAAAAAAAAACACTGTCCCCTGTGTTTTCCAGAGGCAAACACTTGGTTTCTAATAGCTTTTCCTCTGACAGGAACCTCCATGTTTCTAAACCAGAGAGTGCTAGTTTTTATGTATTAATTTAAGACATTTCTATGGACTCTTGATAAGGTCAATGAGAAGTTGGCTTTCCAAACAACTTCGGCCCCAACCCCCAATGGTCCCGTTACCTCCCTATCCGTTAGGATTCAGTCCCTGTTAACTGCATAAAATCGTGCCTCAATTCTTGTACAATCTTTTTTATTTTGGGTTAATATTTGCCCACTATTTTTCTGTCTTTTTTTGTTTGTTTTAGCTGAGCCATCCTGCCAACAGTGGCAGCTCCCACTATTTTTCTTATGCCTAGATTTGCCAATTCTATTTCAATATCTAATATCTTTGGCACACGCCTATTGATTACATTTTCCAAAGGCTCAAACACATTAGCTCTATTGGTTTAATTTCTGGAGACCTCTGTGCCGGAGTTCTCTGTCCTTCTGTTCCGATCTAGACTGATTACTTTCTAAACCCATTGCACGCCTCTGTCACCTGGAGCTTTTCTCTGCTGTCATCCTTGTGACTGCCTTTCTCCTATGCTGGGTTCCCTGTTTCTTGGTGTCTGTGCCAACTCCCTTCTTGGTTTAGTTCTCTCTCATTTTGCTGAAGTCAGTCCTCTCTAGTAGCTTCCTGTAAAGGGTACATGCCTGAAATATGTTTATTCTACTCTCATATGTGATTGATAATTTGGCAGGGTATAGAATTTTAAATTGGAGATACTTTTCTTTCAAGATTTTTGAAGTAATAGTTTTTTGCTTTCAGCTTTCAGGGCCACTGTTGAAAAGTCCAAAGCCACTTTGAGTCCTGATAATTTGTGTTTATTCTCTGAGAAAGCTTTTAGAATCTTCTCTTTATCCTTGGTGTTCTCAAGTGTCACAATCATATACCTTGGTGTGGCCCTTTCACTCATGGTACTATGCACACAGTGGTTTTCTTTATCATAAAGGCTCATGTCCATCAGCTTGGAAATGTTTAAAGAACATTCCCTTACATGATGGAAGAAGAAAGCAACAAACAGAAAGGGTGACAAACACAATGAACTGATCCATGAAGTGCAAAACAGTGTGTCACTGCCAGAAGCATGAGGAGCAGATGGAGATGTGGTCACTGAGGACAGAGCTCTGGAAGAGACCACACCAGCTTCAGAGCCGAAAAGGAGTGCAGAGAACAGGAGGCGAGGAGGCAAGGAGGGCAGGATGTTCCTGTACCCAGCACTCTGTGTGGCTCCTGCCAGGGTGGTGGTCACACTGCTCCATGTCCTTCTCCTCCTCAAAGGAAAGAGACGCGGCAGGAGCAGGTCCCCAACAAAAGCTGGATGTAGTCGGAGTGGAAGCCACTCTCACAGAATTAAAGTAGAGAGCAACAGGGATAAAGACAAACGAGGTGGAGAGCTAGTACGAACAGCCCTGAAAAACGAGGACCAAGGACCTACTGCGGAAGTAGGGTCCCTCGAGGGACATGAAGGACACTCGTGCCCGTCATAGGATAAAACAAAACAGGCTTAAATTAATGACAACATGGGAATCTTAGAGGGCTCATCACAAGCATAACACATAACACTCCACCCCACCCCCCACCCCCAGCAAACACTGAGCCATGATGACATTCATAACAGTCCATGTGTTTAAGGGCTTGTCTCATTAGAGAGGCACATCATGGCTGTGTAGGTGAAACCATAATCTTTTTTTAAAAAAAAGATTTATTGAGGAATTGGGGGAGGGGAACAGTGTTGGGGAATTGGGGGAGGGGACCAACCAAGTTGTTGTTCTTCAATCTTCATTGTGGAGGGCGCCATTTGGCTGCCAGTCGGCAGCTCGTGGCCTCTAAGCTCAAGGTGCTGTGTTCAATTTTAGTTGCGGTGGGTGTAGTAGCCACCATCCCATGCGGGAGTCGAACCAGCAGCCTTGTTGTTAAGTGCGCACGCTCTATCCACTGAGCCATCCGGGTGGCAGCTCAGCTCAAAGTGCTGAGTTCAGTCTTAGTTGTGGGTGGGCATAGTCCACCATCAAACAGGCAATCATTGTTAGGAGCACGTGCCCTCACCAGCTGAGCCATCCTGCCACCTGTTGTCAGCTCAGCGACAGCATCACTGGCCCATGTGGGAATTGAACCGGCAGCCCTGTTGCTCAGAGTTTGCACTCTTAAGCCAATTCTTAATCAACTGAGCCACTCGGCTGGCTCTTCTTTTTTTTTTTAATCTGTAAGTAGGTGTATTTTTTCCAAATGCTGCTCCAAGTTACTTAATATGATTCCTTTGTATTACTTTTTTTGTTTTTTTGAAAAAGAGTGCGTGGACTTTATACTTTGCAGCAGACTATAAATGCCATTCTCATTCAGCTGTGCCATTCTTAAAATTATTCTTGAATGTACTGTGACATCACTAAAGTTCTTTAGTTCATTTTTGTTAAAAAAATTTTTTTTTAAGTTAAATTGTGGGACACCGGTCAGTGTCCGCTGAGAGCTGGAGAACTCAGTGGGTGACATATTTTATCGTTCTGATCCATGTTTTTTTGTGTGTGTGATTCCTTTTCATACATGATGTTCTTTCATAAGCACAAGTTATTTTCTCACTTTAGTTTAATGATAGATTTTTTAAAAGCCTTTCTTCTGCTTTCTGCATTGACTCCCTTTCACCCAGATTGCTTTTCTCCATTTGCTTTGGTCTCTCCACTTCCTGTGAAAGCTTTCCTCAAATGTCTGACAAGCCTTCTTTCTCTTCAAATCTATCTAAAAGTGAGACATTGTATTAGGTAAAATCCAGCGCAACTCATGGTGCTAGACCTCCAAATGCAAGTGGCTTAGGCGAGGCAGAGGACGGGTCCTCGCTTTAGTAGCGGTGGCCAGGGACAGTGTCCCGTTCTCCTTTGCTGCTCCCCTTCCTGCCCACGGGCGCTCCCATCTCTTGGGCCAAGGTGGCTGCGGGGGCTGCAGCCCTCACACTCGTGTCCCAGCCACACAGGAAGGCGCTTCTATCAGCTGACATCCCGTTGGCCAGAACTTCATACACGCCACTACAAGGAAGGCTGGGATATGTTGTTTTTATGGGAGCTGTACCCAGGTAAGCCCATGGTGAAGTCACTAAGAGCTAAGGGAAGAATGGACACTGGGTGGCTGGGTGGAAGCTTCTCTTGCCTGAGCAGGCCTCACCAACCCTTGGACCTGTGTAGAGTCGGCCTGGAGGGTGGATCTGTTTCTTCTGGGACTGTGCCATTTCTCCCAGACTGCAGGCCGGGCTGGCTTCCTTCTGGAGGCAGAAGGGGAGAGCGCAGGTGTCCAGCCCACGGCTGCAGATTCCCAGCTAACCTCCGTCTTTTCAGCCTCCCCCCTCTGTGGTCCTGGTTCTCTCAAGTTAAATTGTCAATGCCATCATCATGCTTACTATGTCCTAGGCACTGTTCTAACTCCTTTACTTGTGTTTTCATACATAAGCCTTGCTCAACCCCACAAGCCAGATGGTACTGTCAGTCCCATGTCACAGGTAAGGACACTGAGAGGGGGGGCTGAGGGACGTGTCCCCCGGTCAGGCTGCCACACAGCAGTGTGGGAGAGAACCGAGTGTCCCTTGGACGCAGGACCGCACTGCCCCAGGGGAGGCTCCCAGTGAGTTCAGACTCCCAGCCAGACCTCTGTCCAGGCCTGAGTCCCACACACCTTTCCCGGAAACATGTCTCTGAGACCTGAAAAGTGCAAGTAGTGGAGGAGTACTCACCCAACCAGATGGTAAAGCATATTCAGACCCAAGTAATTAAGATGGTGCAGGACAGGGCCGGCTGAGTGGCGTGTTGGTTAAGAACTGGCTTGGGACGCCAGTGGGCCCTGGTTCAGATCCCACATGGGGGCCAGTGACACTGCCCTCTACAGCTAAGATGCTGAACAACAGCTCGACCTGGAGCTGGGCTGCCGTGGGTCACCGGCAACGGCGTAGGCTGCAGCCCCTGCTGCAGTGGGCTGCTGTGAGCTACCATGTGTAGCCGGCAGCCAGTGTGAGCGGCCAGCAGCCGCTGTGAGCAGCCGTCCAGAGGCCAGCGACTGATCTGCCTCGCCCAGGAAGAGCACAATGATGGTGCCAACATTCATCAATGATGGGCCAGTGAAGTAACATCCTCCACAACTAGACCGAAGAACAAAACAACAGCAACTTGTCTATTCCCCTCCCCCAAATCCCCAATAAAATCTTAAAAAAAAAGATGGTGCGGGACAGAGCAGAGCCCAGAGACACTGTACGGAATTATGTGGGGTCCTGGTGGCATCACGAATCCTTGGGGGCAAAAGGGCCATTTAATACATGAAGTTGAGTCCCGAGCTTGTGCCTTACACAGGAACGCACCCCAAGTTGATCAAAATTAGACATAGAATAAATAAAACCACGAAAGTCCTAGGGGAACCAAAGGACAATCCCTTTTCAGCCTCAGGGCTAGGAAGACTTCCTAAATAGGATCCCAAATCCAGGCCTGATAAACAAAGGATGGCACGTGTTACCACGCAAAGTAAAGCGTTTTCGCCTGGCCGAACCATTACAGGCAAACCCCAAGTCCAGAAACTGGGGCAACTATTTGCAACTTGCAAACAAAAGGCTGAGGCAACACAAGTGGGTAAGAAAAACAGAAAATGAGCCAAGGACACAAAAAGGACAGGAAAAAAAGGTTAAAAACGTGAGAGTTCATGTGTTTTGTTTTTTTAAGGCAAGTAACCCCAGGACATTTCTGAAAGGGGAGAGGACCAAAGGGGAACTAGCCCCAGAGCCCTGGCAGGCGCTGGCCCCGGAATCGCGGCCGCGCGCCGCAGTACCCCGCGCGTCCAGCAGGTGGCGGTCGCCATCTGTCCGCAGCCGCGCGCCCCTGCCGGACGCGACCTGAACGCCAGGATGCGGATCCCAGTGACGCAGGACAGGGCACTTTTGCTCACGTGCAGAAAGCGTCTGTTGGAGGGCAGTGTTTACAGCAATGTGTGTGATATCGAGACACGGAAAGCAAAGCTTGTCCACAGGGTGCTGCCATCTAACTTTCAGGTGCATCTCTAAGGCATATTATTAAGGAAAAAAGGCGAGAAGGAAGAGCACATAGTATGCTCTGACTGTAAACTTTATCAGCTGATGCCCATAACTGCCTGTGGAAGGAAACACGTTGCTGACGACGGGGAGTGGGGACCGAGGAGGCGAAAGACGGTCACCTAACACTTTTCTCACGTCGTGTTTGTGAGCCAGGTTTTGCCCCTGCAAAAAAAAAAAATCAGGTGATGAAATAAACCCACAATTCAGAGAACGGAGTGCCATTTTCAGCCATTGACGGCGTCACTAGATCACTTGAAAGACCTTGTCAAATAAACAATGGGAAATCTATAAGATATAGAAAGCGTCATTTCAAATGCATGACTCAGCTAAGAGCATCCTACAGAGGCAAAGAGCAACCCCAAATGCAGTAAAACCTGGACCAGGCGGCCGACAGGGAAAGGAGAGGAGGAAGGGAGGAAGTACGGTCAGCGGCAGGTCAGGTGGGCAAGGCCCAGGACATCCTGGAGGAGTTTGTATCCTTTCCTACTTCTCCCTGCTCCTGGGGAGACATTTTAAAAAACTAAGTGCCACCTGAGTGGTTTCTGCTTGTTCCCACTGAACACACATGTGCTGTGTGCCCAGGCATGGCCCTGCACACTGCTGCTCGGCAGAGGACCTGGGGATGTGCGTGGACAGAGCAAACAAGTGTCCCTGTGGGGGTGACCTGCAAGTGTCACTGGGGGCGTAATGCTAACCATCACGCGTTCAAGAAAAAATAGATGGCATCAGTGTGAAAGGAAACAGACTTTCGACTCTACCACCACAGATTCAGCCTAACTTTTTGCACAAAGGGAGAAGAAGGAAATTTCAGAGCTTTCTTCTGGTTTCACAAAGAAATCACACAGGTGCCCTTCAGAAAGGCAAGGTGTCAGTTTGGATGGCATTTACCAAGGCAAGATGTGCCCAACAACAGACCCAATCACAATGCTGGGTTGGGGGTGACGGGTTCCACTCTCGGAGGCCCCCGTTTCTCCACTTCTCCACACTGACAGGTGGGACAGACACTGAACGTTCAGAATTTCTGAGGATGCAGGTGAGCAGGGATGAGTGAAATCGTACCCTCCCCATCCCTCCAGGATCCCTGCAGGCCCAGAGGTGGGAACTCACCTGTGGACCTTCTAGAAAGACTGGCCTCAGAGCTCACACTTGCCACCGATCGGGGTAGGGCAGAGTAGAAGTTTTCCTAACAAGAATGGGACATGGCGCATGTGAGGCTTTTCTTCCCCATTAGGAAGGAAAGAGATGACATAATCACAAGTGCGGGAATGAGGACTCTGCACATTTTCATGCCAATACATCTAAACATTTAGACAAACAGAAACTTTCCTAGGGAGTCTGAAACTGGCCTGAGATGAGGCGGGAAGGGGCCAGGCAGACAGGGCCAGACCAGCTGCTGGCTGATGTCTGACCCCAGGCCGCCCAGCAAGGCCTGGCCCTTGTCCTCCTTCCAGATGTCCTTGGCCACCACTGGCTCCATAGGGCTTTGTACAAGAGCAGACAAGAGGCAGATGGAACCAGGTGGTGGGTGACCTTGCACATGCGCCTTCTCGCTGATCCCTGGAAACATAGGCAGATTCTACTCTCTGCTCTCCACACTTTTTTCTCAATTGAAGGCATTTTAGGCAAAAGCCACCTCTTGCTGAGGTCTGTCCTAACTGGTCCTGGGAGGAGGGTGGGAAGGTTGGGAGCCACAGGACGGACCCACCAGGGAGTTCTGTGGGTCCCTCCGTCTCCTGCTCTCCTCCACAGGGCCTTGGGGCAACAGAAGCTTCCTGGGTGGGACCTGGCTTTGTGTCTCAGTTCATGGACTCTGAGCCTCAGTTTCTCCCTCTGCACTGGGTGCCATCAGTCTGTTCGCCCAGCTGGTGGTCAAGTGGCCCTTTGGACCCCACTACTATCCCCCTGAACTGCCATCTCTCGACTTGTTTACTCTAGGGAGTGAACGGGGAGGGGTCCCGGGCCAGGCTCATGTTCCTGTGTGACCTGGGACCCTTGGAGCATGGTCTCCTTTCCTAAAGGTCCACAAAGCACTGTGCTCCCACCTGCCCAGGTCTGACAGAGCCACTGGAACCCAGAGAAGCCGCCCAAACCCGCGCTCAGAGCTGGGCAGGCCATGGGGACCCTGTTGCCGGGACCTGTCCCTCCTTGCTCTGTAGGTGAGAAAACAGGTGGGGACTATCTGTTGCTGGGGACAGCCTGAGTAGGAGCGGGGACCACACGGGTTCTGTGGGTGGCAGTGACTCTGGGACAGGCCTGGATGGCTGTAGCAAAGGCACGGGCAGTGGTCAGGGTGCAGAGGGGACAAAGGCCACAGAGGCTTCCAGGGACAGCCTTCTTAGAGATAATCTGGTGCCTCCGAGCTAGAGAAGAAGTCAAGACGGTCTGATACTGATTTTTTGGCAGCTTCTATTTATGGTCATGATATGAAGTCTCCTTTTAAAAAACATTCTTTAAGTGGAAAAATGAATAGACTTAGAGAAAACATTAAATAAAGATACAGCGGGTGCCTGTGTGTTATGATCACCGCCTGCCCTTACTTTTGCAGAATTGACAGCAGCTCCACGTGCTGCTGCCCTCATACTTCCGGGCAACAGAGGCTCTCAGGGCTGGTGGGCCCAGAATCAGGGCTGGACTGTCTGTGGGGCCAAGGAACAGGGCTGAATCCTTCCTCGCAGGCTGTGGCTGGCGGCAGCAAGGGTTCCTGTGCCTCCAAACAGCCGAGCTCTGGGACTCTGTAGGACTAGAGAAGGAGTCCCCATGGCTGTTGGCAGGGGCAGCTGCAGAGGCATGTGTGGGCGCTGACGTGAGGTGAAGGGTGGGGTCCCTCCTGGTCTCTGGGGACAGTTCCTTTGCTTCATGGGCCCAGAACCCTCAGGTCGGAAGTGGGATTTCTCACATCTGCCCTCCCCAGTCCTGCTGCTCAGGGGATCCCACACAGTGATGTTTGGGGCATAGCCCTCCCTCCACCCAAGGTAGGCAAGATGCCCTGGACAGAGCAAGTACCCAGGGAAAGGGCAGCAGAGCCCTCAGCCCCATGCTGGCCCTTCCACCCCACCAGGAGCTGCCCTGACCAGGAAAAGCTCAGCATAGCTGAGCCCCCAGTCCCAGAACAGGCTCGGCACAGCCACACCAGACTTCCCAGGCAGGCCTCAGGCTTGACTGAACTGGCTTTCCACCGGCTGGTTGCACAAAGCCCTGAACTGGTCCTCTCTTCTCTCTGGACTGGGCTGGCGGATGCGTCATCCAGCTGATCTCAGGTCCAGAGGTGCCATGGTACTGAAGACTTGGGCCATTGGAGAGCATGGGGCCCCCTCACCCGGCACCGTCACCTGCCCCGGCTCTGCCCACCCTGCCCCTATCTCTCAGGCACAGCAGCCACAGTTGCCTCAGTCTTCCACTGGAACCCATGTGAGCAAGCTGGCCTACGCTGTGGGTGGGGGGCATGAGGAGGACACAGACATGGGCGACCCTAGATCACCATCCCTTTCTGCTTCCCTGGGGGACCTCCTGAGTCCCCCCACGAAGCTGGGACAGGGGCCGGGCCCAGGGCCCTTTCTATCTGAGGGGAAGGGAGAAGCCAGGGGCAGGGCCAGGGCCAGGGCCAGGCAGGGCCCCTCTTCAAACCTTTACCTCCAAGGTAGGTGCAGAGACCTGGAGACCTAGCTCAGGGTCCCAACAAGCTGCAGAGGCCTGGTGTTGGGGTCAGCTTGGGTGAGGCATCTGACCCCGAGCTTCAGGCTCCGGCAGAGGCCTGGAGATCTGGTGCTGATCAGGAATTTTGGGGGATGACCAGGAATTAGTGATGCTGTGTGTGAGTGTGGCTGTGAGGGGACATGGCTGTCCAGAGGCTGGGGACCAAGAACTCAGTGAGCACCGCAGCCCATCTAGCCCCTCCTCTCCCGTCTCCAAGTGAGCACATCACCTGGAGACTGCCTCTAGAGCCCTGGGTTCACAGCACTGTTGCCATTCCCCCACCCCCACCCCAACCTCAACCCCAGTGTAGCCCCTGAATGGGAGATTATCCTGCTTCGTGTCCAGTCAGGTCAGGCAGGCCTGGCCAGGTGTCCTGTGGCCCTGGAGGAGCGTCCTGAGTGCTTGGAGGTCTAGGCAGAGATGGCATTGAAGGGCTGGAGTCTTGGGGATAGTCCTGAAGAGTGGGAGAAGGTGTGTGTCCCTCCCAGGTCGGGGCACCAGGTAGGCTTGTGGGGGGCTGTTCCCTTGGTCCAGCCCTGCCCCCCTTCCTGGCCAATGGAGAGGGCTACCCCAGGGATTGAGCAGAGGGTGGTCCGCCCTGAGGGTGGTCCATTTTTTTATGTGAAGAGTGAAAAAGTTTTCACCAAAGGAAGCCTCGGGTTCCACACCCCTCCCAAGCCGACGCTGTCCAACTCTAAAAGGACAGAAGCCCTGAAGGCGAAGGGAAATTTCCGTCTTCCCCCTCTGGGATGGGGCAGCGTGACCCGTGGACTAGCGTGCTCCAGGCCACTACCTGCCCTCCCCATCCAGAGGTACGGCGTCCCCGACTGGCATGGCTTGGAGCAGTTGCAGCGTTGCCCTGAGGGCCACGACCCGGACCACAGCCCACGGAAAAGTCTCGGTAAGCCTGGAGGGGACGAGGCTCTGAAGTACGCTTACAAGGCGAGAAACGGAGGGGCAGGTGCACCTGCACGGTGCCCGCCCCACCCATGCGGCCGGGGACCGGGGTCATGCCTCCATCGCCCCGCCTTCTCTCCCCTGAGACACGCCCTGCGGGGACTCGCAGGCCGCGGCCCGGTGAGGGTTAAGGGGGGCGGGGCGTGGAAAGGCCCCGCCCCCCGCCGCGCCGGGTCCGAGCGCGCACGGGGCGCGGGGGCGGGTCGGAGCGGGAGGCGGCGGAGGGCGCGGCGCGCCGGGCGAGTGCGGGGAGCG